CTGAGCATGTTCTTCCTTTTTGGTTTCCTGATTCCAAATTTGCATATTTAATTATAATATTTGGCTTTATCTTCTCAAGCTGATCTTTGAAATTTTCTGTTCAACTCTATCCCCTTTCTACCTCTTGCTATATGTCTTCCTTTTCATGTGAAAATCTGATGGGGAACTAGAAAAGACATTTAATGACTTTCTGAGGCACCACAAGTATGAAAGGTAATTGACTAAGGCAACCAGACAAGATGGAGGAAGATGTTTCTACTAACTCTCCACTGCTGTTATTTATTCATCTTGAATTTCAATGGGGTATACAGTATAGTGATGCATTTAATATGTCTCTTCTAGCTTTGTTTTTGTAACTCTCACCAAATAACTCTTTTTCTGATAGGTCTGGGTAAGGAGTAGGTAGGAGATGATAATGATAGGATGACATGATTCAGCTACAGATACTAATGGAATTAATTGTAATCGGGAAAACTTGGAACTATAACATGGGTTTAAAATGAGCCATCTCAGAAGCACACAGATGGATCTGACTGCAAACCAAGAAGAGCCAAGAGTGGACAGTGTCCTTTGGACCCGGAGATCCTTGTGTCTTGAACCTCTTCAACCAGGGAGAGAAAGCTGTGACACTAGCATGGCAGAGGAATGGCAGTAAAAGAACCAAGAACCATAGTGTCAGAGGGAGCAGTGGGTTTCCCAGCCCACTGTTGTTGTTTTTAGGTGCTATTGAGTTGGTACCTACCCATAGTGACCTTATACACAGCAGAACGAAACACTGCCTGATCCTGGGCCAACCTCACTACTGTTGCCACGCTTGAGCCCATCGATGCTGCCACCTGGCCAATCCATCTCGTTGGGGGTCTTCTTCTTTTTCTCTGACCCTCCACCTTACTAAACATGATATCCTTCTCCAGTGACCTGACAATATGTCCTAAGTATGAGAGATGAAGTTTGACCATCCTGTCCTCCAAGGAGCACTCTGGCTGCACTTCTTCCAAAATGGATCTACTGGTTCTTTTGGAAGCCCATGGCACTTTCAATATTCTCCTCCAACACCATATCTCAAAAACATCAATTCTTCTACGGTCTTCCTTATTCACTGTCCAGCGCTGGCATGCTGTTTTGGCATGCTCCATTGAAAATACCATGGAGCAAGTAAAAATCAGTGACTTTGGGCAGGAGGCTTGCTGGCAATGCTGGTCGCCTTCAGGTACTTAATTGGGAAATTAGGGTTGCTGACCCATAGAGCTAGAGCTGAGTGTTCATGGTGGAGCAGTGTGTCCTGTGGGCATTCATCAGCAGCCTAAAAGAGCTTTGTAACATTGGCTGAGCAGAGAGAGACCTAACTGTGGGCATGGCTGAGGAAAGACTGTCTTGACTGGAACATCTGCACCTTGAGCATTTCTAATCCTGAATTATATACCTGTTAACTTCTTGAATAAACCCCACAATTGTGAGTATATTGTCTGAGTTCTGTGTGGTCATTGCAATGAATTATCAAACCTAGTTGACTGAGACTACTGTAGGAGGAATGGCTTGCTGTCACATGATATTATAGGAGGCAACTTAGAATTTGACTTTGGTTGATCAAACTGGGGTAAAAAAAAGTCCATCTTTGATATTGCTCCAAGTGTCTGTTACCCTTGCTATGCTCTGGTCCTTGCTCTTGTTCACAGTTTCCTATCCCACTACTTATCTGAAAATTGAGAGTCAACAAAAAATATGGCAACAGCGCTTACATACTGTTTTCCCAGCACTAAAAGTGAGAAGATTAAAACTCTTTACCTTGCATTCTATATCCAGAATTGTTCTTTTTTTATTGAACCCTGATAGTTGTAATAATGAATGCCTATGTATTCACCCTCCTCTGTGAGTTGTCCTGCTGTGATGACTTGCTTGTTCTGTGATGATAGAAACTTGCCACCAGTATTTCAAGTACCAGCAGTATCATCCATGGCAAAAGGGTTTCAATCAAGCTTCCAGACTAAGATAGACTGGGAAGAAGGGCCATTCTAAAACATTAACTACTGAACACCTAATAAGTAATAATGCAACATTGTCCAACATAATGCCTGAAGATTCCTTATGTTGGAAGACATTCAAAATATGACTGTGGAAGTGTTGCCTCATCACAGTACATTTGACCACATTATTATGAATGGACCAAAGCTTTCAGGAATTTCATTTACTGATGTGGTATGAACCAAAAGGAGAAGAAATAGCTGAAAACATGCATTAATTATCAGAACACGGAATGTACAAAGTATGAATCTAAGAAAATTAGAATTCATAAAAAAATCCGCTGGAACACATAAAGATGGATATGCTAGGCATTAGTGAGCTGAAATGGACTGGGATTGGCCATTTTGAATTGCACAACCATGTGGTTTACAATGCTGGGAATGACAAACTGCAGTGGGTTGACACCTCATTCATAGTCAAAAAGAACATTTAAAGATCTTGAAGTACATTACTGTCTATGATAAGGTAATATCCATGTGCCTACTAGGAAGACCAGTTAGTTTGACTTTGATTAAACATAGACACCAATCACTTAAAGCCAATGATGAATATATTGAATAATTATGCCAGCTTCTGCAGTTTGAGTGATCAAACATGCAAACAGGATAATTACTGGTGATTGGAATAAGGAAGTTGGAGACAAAGAGGAAAAATTGGTAGTTGGAAAATAGGGCCTTGTATATAGAAACAAAACTGGAGATGACATTTTAGAAGAGAAGGTAGAATTTTAGAAAAGAAGGACTCGTTCCTTGAAAATAACATTCAAAACAAACAGTGACTATACATGCAGATCTCACCAGATAGAATATACAAGAATAAAACTGTCTGTGTCTGTGGAATGAGATATTGGAGGAGCTCAATATAATCAGCTAAAACAAGACCAGGAGCTGACTGTGAAACAGACCATTAACTTTGGGTTGAAGCCAAAGAATATTAAAATAAGTCAATGAGAGCATAAATATGACCTTGAGTATATCATACCTGAATTTAGAGACTGTCTCAAAACAAGTTTGCCTCATTGAGCACCAACGTCCAAAAAGCAGACGAGTTGTGGGTTGGCATTAAGAATGTCATATAAAGTAAAAGGTCATTAAAAAAATAAGAGAGACAGAAAAGACCAAAATGGATGTCAGGAGAGACTCTGAACCTTGCTCTAGATCATAGAGAAGCTAATGTGACTGGAAGAAATAGTGATATGAAAGAGCTGAGTAGAAAATTTCAAAACGTAGCTCAAGAAGACAAAGTAAAGTATCATAAGGAGAAGAATATTCCAAGACCTAGAATTAGAAAATCAAAAATGAAGCATATGCTCAGCATTTCAAGATGACAGAAATGAAGGAAAGTTTCAACATTTGAGTTACAATGTTAAAGGATTCTATGGGCAAATATTGAAAGATGCAGGAAGTATTTAAAAAAAAGGGAAAAATACACAAACCACTGTAACAAAAAGAATTAGTTAACGTTCAACCTTTTCAAGAGGTAGCATATGATTAAGAACATATGGCATTAAAAGAAGAAATCCAAGTTGCACTGAAGGCATTAATGGATAACAAGTCACCAGGTATTGATGGAGTTTAAATATTTCAACAACATGATACAGTACTGGAGGTGCTCACTGAATTTCAAGAAATTCAGAATATAGCTACATCACCATGTGACTAGAAGAGATCATATTTTTGCTGGCTCAAAAAAAGAGCATTCAACTGATTGGATAAAGTATTGACTAGTATTTGGTGTGGTGCTGTAGGCTAATGCATCAGACTGAAAAGTCGTTTGACCTGCAAAGTTGGTAGTTCAAGCTCACCAGCTGCTCTTAGGAAACCCTATACAGGGTCACTATGGGTTGAATCAACTTGATGGCACTTAACAACAACAACAATCATTAATACCACATGTAAATAAAGTTTTGCTGAAGACAATTTTAAAATGTTGCAGAAGGAAGAGCATTTAATTATGCTCCATAAACATAGACCAAAAGAAAATGGTTCTAACAGCAAAAGGGAAGGATGAATGGTTTAAAATCAGGAAATGTATGTGTCAAGGTTATATCTTTTCACTAAATTTATTCAATAGGCTTGTTGAGCAAATTATCTGAAAAGCTAGATTATATGAATAAGAATGCAGCATCATGTTTTAGGAAAATTCATATGAAGATGGAAGTCCTGGTGTGGCACTGTAGGGTAAGCACTAGATTAAAAAGGTCACCTTAAACTGCGAGATCGGTGGTTAAAATTTACCAAAAGCTGCTCGGAAACCCTATACAGGGTCTCTATGAGTCAGAACCAACTCATTGGCACTCAACATCAGCAACATATGAACATGACACAACTTTGCTTGCTGAAAGAGAAGAGTACTTAAAATACATACTGATAAAGAACAAAAACTACATCCTTCAGAGTGGATTTCACCTAAACATAAAGAAAGCAAAATCCTCAATAAATAATATGATTGTTGTTAAGTTGTTATTAAGTACTGTCCAGTCAATTCTGACTCATAGCAATCCTGTATAGGATTTCCAAGTAGTGAATGGTGGGTTTGAAGCATTAACCTTGTGGTTAGCAGTCCAGTGCTGATCCTACTTAGTCATGCCAGTACTCCAATATCATGATAAAAGAAGACAAGATTAAAGTCGTCAAAAGCTTCATTTTGCTTGGATCCACCATGAAAACTCATGGAAACAGTAGTCAAGAAATCAAACAACATATTGCATCGTGCAAATCTGCTGCAAAAATCTCTTTAAAATATTAAACAACAAAGATGCTACTTTGAGGACTAAGGTGGGCTTAACTCAAGCCATGGTATTATCAACTGTCACATATTATGTCAAAGTTGAACAATGAATAAGGAATACTGTAGAAGAATAAATACATTAGAATTAACTGTGTTGGAGAATAATATTGAAAGTATCATGGACTATCAGAAAAGCAAACAAATATGTCTTGGGAGAAGTATAGTCAGAATGCTCCTTAGGGCATTCTTTGAAAATGTCAGGAAAGACCTGTTCCTGGAGAAGGACATCATACTTGGTAAAGTAGAGAATCAATGCAAAAGAGAAAGACTCCCAATCAATTGAATTGTTACAGTGGCAACAACAATGGGCTCAAACATAACAATTAAGGATGGTACAGACACAGGTAGTATTTCATTCTGCTGTGCAGCGTCAGACTGACTCGAGGGTGCCACTAACAACATATTCTCAAAATTTCGATTCAATGATTTCATATTTTTTGATGTGTGCTTTTTTTATTTACCTGTCTACCCTAGATTGAGTCATGCTACTTAATTCCTAATGATTTTAACATGCATTTAAAAAATGTTTTATTGTGAATTATGTGATAGTTTACATGGGAGAACATTAGTTTTACATTCATCCTATTGTATATCCTTTCATTGACATGGTTACAATCCCCTCCATGCATTATCAACCAACCAAAGGGTATACCCTACAAGCCTGCACCCCAGTCATCAGCAACATGCATTTTTAATAAGCAATTTTTATGTAGCCATAATATTATTATCACAGTTGCAAAACAGTTACAAATTCTCAGTCTATAATCAAAATTCCCTAATGATATATCCTCAGCATATCTTTTGTAACTATAATTTCCCACCAAAGTTCATATGTGCATTTGGTTCTTTATAATATAAAATAGTCTTCTTTTTAATTTCTCATATTACATTAACTTTTTGAATATACAACATCAATGGCATTTCACATTTTAAATTTGCCTATTACTTCTTCCTTTCACAATCCCTGTAGTTTCTATATATTGAAAATTATGTCAAGCCTCCATTCAATTAATGTTTAATTTTATGTAAGAATACTGAAAGCTATTTTCTTCTTTTGAATAACCTCAAGACACAAGGAATATCTAGTTACTTCCTAATGATAAGTGTTGCCATGTTTAATCTCTTTGTAAAGTGTGTGACCACTAGCTCACTACATTTTGGATGTAGGCTTTCCTCCTTGCAATTTATCAAGTAATTTGTGCGATGATAATTTTGCACCATATAAATATTTTATGCATCTTTCACTTAATAATTTCAGCATCCATTGATATTCATTGTCTAGCATATTTATTTCATTGGCTGCAACAGTATAGTTATTTTTAAATTTCATCATTCTTTCCGTGTTTATTATTTTGCCTTATGTTGAAATCAGGTTTATTTAGACTATAAAAATGTCTTTTGATGTTGCTAGGAATTTACCTAACAGCAAATAGCAGTGATTAATTATCCCAAGATTATATCTTTAATCAGTTTACCTCTCATAAAATATTAAATAGACTAGGTGTGAAATTTGTGAAGAAGACAGGTTTGCATTTTAAAAGTGATGGTCAGATAGTTTAGCATTCAGATAAAAGCTCAGCATAGCAAAAAACAGGTGTGATGGTAAAAGAAAATTACTGTAGAAAATTATAGCAATTCTGAAGCTTGATTTTCTTAAAATGTTTAAGTCTTATCCATTATAACATCCCTAGAGAGACCAACTGTAAGCATCTTGTTAGGTGACACCGAGTGGACTATATGCAAAACAGAACAAAATACTGCCCATTCCTGCTATCCTCACAATTGGTATGCTTATATGCACTGCCACTGTGAAAAACCATCTCATTGGGGGTCTTCCTAGTATTTGTTGACCATCCACTTTAATAAGCATGATGTCCTGTAAGA